CATGCTCACACCCCAGGCGAAAGAAGTGAACGCAGTGTGGAAGGGGGACCCGTGGGAGGGGGAAGGGGTGGGGGGTGCACAAAAAGAACTAAAATATCGCCCTTGGCGTGACGTTGAGACATGCTTGGAACATGATCTGGTTGGTGCAAATATTGTCGAGGTGATGTGGTGTTGCCCCCGGCGTCGTCAAGACCAGGACAGTGAAGAAGCACACGCCTCGCCGAGAGTTGCAACAACAGCTCTGCCTTCCGCCATGTCGGTAACGGACAACGCCCTGGTTGATGCGGGGGAAGAAGCGTCATAAAACAAAATCACCGCCGAGGACTGCTTGAAACGCGACAGACAAACGCTTGCGCTGCCGTAAAACAACGACGGTGCCAGAAGCGCCCACCAGCCACAGCAGCGGCAGCAGCGGCAGCAAGAGCCCGCGAGCGCCCAGCAAACACAATTAAGCAACCAACGCACCCAGCAGCCGCACTTCTACTGTTAACAGCGCTCACCTTCCCGCTGGAGTAGCCGACAGCGAGCATGCGGATGTCGGCGCCGCCCGTCCCCATGCCGTCCCCGCCGACCGTTTCCGAGTGCGGGAACCAGCTCATGCAAGTCACGTGCCCGTCCTGCCCAAGCAACAGCCAGACGACCACGCAGCAACAGCAACAAACAGGAGTGTTTGGAGACATGAGGCGAGGGGGACAGGGCAGAGCACGCAGGAAATCAATTCATTCTCTGCACAAAAGAATGTGTGAACGGCGAAGCGCGTGCGTCAAACGAAACGTTCTGCGACGCGTTCCAGCAACCATAGCAGGTGGGGTTCAAATAGGGGCATGAGACGCGAAAATCGACGACGGGATATTTGCACAAACAAAAAAATATGGTATTTGTTCATCACCTTCTGCTTCTTCCACCGCTTGCTTCTCCCTTCGAGGTGGTACTTCCACTCCCGGTTCGTCGACCCCGCCGCGGCCGCCGCCGATGTCGCCGCCATGACGCTCCTAGCGTTCCCTTGCTCAGAATACACCGAAGACGGTTTCCGGGGGCCCAGAGGATACCCCGCGAACTCCCCCCCACCGCTACCGCCGGCCATCCCTCCATCGACAACGCCTCCGCCGCCGCCGCCAAGCGCTGGAGCGGCGGCGGCGGTGGCAGCTGTCGTCGCGGTCGCAACCCTCGCCGTCCCCGCAACCCCGGCCCGAAACGGCATGTTCTGCTGCTGCTGCTGCTGCTGCGAGAAGCCCCCGCCCGCCGCCCCCTGAGCCCCGCCCCCGTCAACGCCAGCGAAAGGGTTTCCATATCCCCCGCTCACGCCACCGCTGCCGCCGTAGGACGGCTGCGCGTTGGAGCCCACCACCCCCGCTCCTCCTCGCGACGCCGCTGCTGATGCAACCGCAGCGGCACTACCGCTAACGCCGGCGACGACTCCGCCCACCGCCCCTTCTGCGGGGAGTTGCTGCTGGAGGTGGTGGTGATATTCGGGTCCCGCGCCTGCGAACGGGTTCTCCGGGCCGGAAACGTTGCCGAATACGTCGGCACTACCGCCGCCGCCGCCGCCGCTGGAGAACGCGGCCGACGATCCCCCGTCCCCACCGCCCCCGGCGGCGGCCCCGCCTCCTCCGCTTCCGCTGGCTAACCGCCGCACCCTGGCAGCGTCCGCGGCTCCCGCCGTCGCGACCGTCGGGACCGTCGCCGGCGCTGCTACGCCCGCAGCAGCAGAAGCAGCGGACGAAGGGTCTCTAGGATCCATGACGCCGGCAGCGGCGGCGGCGGCGGCCAACGACAGCCCGGCAATTGTGCTCCCGCCGCTGCCTTCAGGTGCGTTTGGGTCGTAAAAAGTCATCGAAGCCGCCCGGTATGTCTTATGTTTTTTTTTTCCACACCCAACGAATGGGCGCGCACCAAGAGACAACAACAAAATTTTTCGGCAGAACAA